CTTTCCCTATTCACTTCCTCCCTGTTACCTTAATGCAGATTCAACAATTTCCCAAAGGATCCGCTGTCTTGGTGCCAAGAGTGCAGCCCGCAACAAAATGGGGAGAATTCGATTGCTGCCCGCTCGGATCTCAACCCTGCCAACGGCACATATCCCTTTGGGGCCTTGCGCCAGAGACCACATGGAGGCACTGACATGAAGGTGAGGGACTGCGTGTGTGGGTGTACACAAGAGAGAACCTTGGAAATGCATGCAGATTTTGGGTTGAGAGGTTGGTGTCTGTAAAGAGGAGGCTCTCTTTGGCTTGATGTGGAGAACAGTTTTTGCTGTTAGCTTTTTGCCCTGTGAATCCACACTCTCTGAGCTGAGACTAACAAGCTCATGAGAGGATTTCCTCCAGTCAGTGGAACAGCCTGCCACTTGAGGCTTCTCCGGTCTCCTCTGTCCTTGCCTTCTGAAGAAATGTCATCCCATGTATGTGTTGAGCGCCATCACTTCTGGAGGTTGCCATGAATCCAATCACTCTGTCAGCCTAAGCTACTTCATAGGGTTATTGTGAGGATAAGAAGGTATAAAGGAGAACCTTATACACTGCACAGAGTGCCTTGGAGAAAGAACAAGAAGGAAAACATGTTATGTTTCTCTCTCTTCAAAGGCTGTGCCTAGGTCAGAAAACAGTCAACCATGTTCATAAAATCACAGAGTTGGAAGGGGCCATACAGTCCACCTAGTCCGGCCCCCTGTTCAATGCAGGATCAGCCTAGAGCATCCCTGAGAAGTGTTTGTCTAGCCGCTGCTTAAATACTGCCAGTGAGGGGTGGCTGACCACCTCCCTAGGCAGTTGATTCCACTGTTGCACAACTTGTACTGTAAAAAAGCTTTTCCTACTATCTACCTTCCCGTTCTTAATTTAAACCCATTATTGTTCTGGCTTCCCTCTGTGGAGCAAGGGGTTAAATTCTTTCGAGACAGGAAGCAGTAAGCCTGTGTATGTTGGTGGCCCTACCTCTTCTTCCTCTCTTTCTCCAGGTCACTTCCTTTAAGATGGCCAAAAACTACAACTTCATCGCCACCAGTGGGCCTACCTGGGATGACCTCCCTCCGTTCGAGTGGAGCACCTCCCCTTTTGTCAATCTGCTGCACATGGGCCATCCTGACCAGTGGAAATTCTCTCCCATCCAAGTCTGCTGGGGCTGATGCCCTGCAGGGGGTTGGACTTTGCTCATCACGCCGGGCTCTATGAGTGTGTGATCCCAGCTGTTGCAGTGTAGTGGAGACGTGGATGTTGCATCTTTGGCTGGCTCTCACTGAAGGAATAACAGATGCATTGTTTTTTATTTTGAAAGGGTGAGAGCATTTGAGAATGATGGGATGTAATTAGAGTTCTATGTGTGCTGCAGTCACAGAAGAATACAGTGGGAGAAATGCAGAATGTGGTTTGTGGGTGCAGAATACAGCTACCTGAGAATGTCAGCTTTTTTTTTTTTTTTAAGGACAAGTTTGTGGCCCTTTCTAACTGCAAATACATGCTTGCAAATTTGTGGGCAAATGCTTGCTAAAATCTCAGAAGCCAGAGAGGTGGCTGAATCAGATTTCCAGGGGGAATGGCTACATCGCCCTGTGATAGCTCTTCTTTTCCCCCCATTTCTACCAAAATCTGAGCAGACACCTGGGTAGAATTACACTCTTGTAAAACCTTTGAAATCAATGGGCATAGAAAGCTGTAACTTCTTAAGGACTGTACTGCAGATTATGCAGAATGAGAGGAATCCTGCAAGTTAGAATAACCTGTGCTGATCACTGAATTCAGCTTTGCTCAGTGCAGAATTTTGGAGTTACTTTCTCTGCTCTTACGACTACAGTCTTGAGCATTAACAATTCAGCATAACAACAACAGAACAATAATTGGGTACACCTATAACAGGTAAAAAACCATCAAATTATCTGGATCTAACTATCTGTTGGATTTAATTACATAAGAAAATAATTTCACAACAGCCAGAGTAGTACTGTGATAATTTCTGGGCAAGAGAGTCTGTAGCTTATGGTGGGTAGAGGAACTGGCCAGGTCCTTTAGGAAGGGAGAAACAAACTTGGTTCTATACCTATGAAATTTTGGAAAGGCCAATAAGCCATGTAACAAAGTTCCAAGCTTCCCTGTTTCACAGTTGCAGAATTTTGATATTACTTCATCTGCATCTGGGACATTAAAAAAAAATTGTCATCGAGAGCGATATTTTTGTTTCCTTTCTCCTCCCAGATAGAGACAGGACTGTGCTTTCTGTCTTTGCTTTTCCTCTGTTTGGGTCTGCTGCTGTTCCTGAATCCATGAAGCTCCAGCAATATCCCTGGAAGTGGCATGCATTTAAGTTTTTAAACCAGTTTTGTGCTGGAGGAACTTCTTGCCCCAGAAGGGGTCTGCTTTCTTGTTGCAACTCCTGTAATTGTGTTGTAGTAAGATGTTCAGCTCACAAGAAGCCTTGAGGGGGGGAAATACACAGCATTGCATTTTAGAGATTTCAAGCTAGGGGATTTTCTCTTGAAAGTGATTTACCAAAGATCTGATTCCACGTGTGCTGCAAACTGAAACTAGTTCTAAGTTGACTTAACTGTTGTGACTTGGAATGAATACCGCACACATGGGTATCAGACTCAGCAGAGTTCTGATGAAAAGAAGCACAAGAGTTAAACCATTTTCTACTGCAGACTTATTCCTAATTTCCTCCATTTGGTTCTACCTGACCTCCATTTAGTTCTTCCTCATGTCTTCAAGTAATATTTTCTCTCTGATCAGTGTGTGTTTATGTGTACATCTCTGTGTCTGTTTGTTTATGAATACAAATGAAGAATTTACCTGTTTGTTCTAAAAGAAATTCCTATGCTTGAAAGAAATGTTTGTCCTTTCCAGAAATTATGTTACTACTATTGTCTTGAATTAGAGTTGTGTTCATCATCCACGTTGAGCTGCAGAGTTTAATTTTACATGTTGGACTGATGTGCAGAGTGCCTTTCCAGCAGTCCTGAATACAACCCCCCCCCTCCCCCCAGTATCTGGGGTCAATAGGTAGGGTTTCTGGAGGAGGAGAAGATATTCTTGCTTTCAGTTTAGGTAGGTCTGGACTCCAGCATCTCTTCTTTAAAAATCAAACTGTTGCCTAAGACCCTTCTGTAAGACCTCAGGTTTATGGCTTATGGAAGGAACATTTCCCTGTGTCAGTGTCTGCCGATTCCTGACATCAGCAAGAAGACGTTGCACAAAAGTGCTTGGCGCGTCATGCATCTCCTTTGCTGATTCCTGGGGCAAAGCAAGTTTAAAATGGAATTTGGCCGAGCTGAAGGCCACTTGGTGTAGTTTGTGTGTTCTCATCTTTAATAGATGGAAGAGCCTGGGCTTGCTTTGCCTGCTCTGTAAGATACCACCTCTACCCCAGCTCCTTCCTCACTTCTTACCGTCCAGCTGAGTCCCTGTCTTATCTGTCCAAGGCAGACTTGACTCTAAGCCCTTTGAGAAAGGATCGTTTTCTGTGGTCTGTACAGGGAATAGCATGAAGTCATTTTTGTTAATCAAAATAAGAGCAGTTTTAAATTCATGACACTAAAGGGCTGCTTCACACATCGAATTTTGGGTGTACGTCTTAAGTTATTTTTAAATGTGCCACTAAAAACTGAAGAAGAGAGAGAGGTTATCTGGCAAGCAGGTTATGTAAGCGGGAGATCCACATTAAAGTGTCAGGATTGGCTGCAGTCCCTCTTAAGTGTCCATTCAGTAGCATTCCTGGGTTTGCCTCCTTGTAATGTGTGAACCAGCCCTGCCCAAAGCACCTTTTGAACCTTTTTGGCTCTACCTGTGTGCACAGGTGGATGCTGTTAGTGCAGAACAGAAATGAGAAAGCCAGTTCTAACTTGATCATATGCTTTAGCCAGTGTGGGTTTTGTGCTGAAAAATATGTACAAGAGAAATACGTACGAGCATTTATTCAAAACATGTGCACCTTACATGGACCCTCTGTGTCTTCCTCCAGTCGAAGGGGAATTGCTCTGTCTGCTGGAAGTGCAGGGCCCTCCCCCTTTAGATCAATGTATGGGTTTGTTATAGCCATATGAAGGAATTTCTGTCTTTCATGTAAAAAAATGAAGAATATTTGATTTTTTTTTCTTTAATAAATATCGAAATGAACTTGTCTTTTTTTTGGTGACATGCTTCTGAACTGTGTTCTCTCTCTTCAGTTGGCCACATTAAAAGATCCTATCAGGATGATCTAAATTTCCGGGCTGGCACAGGGCAACAGTCTTTGCAAATCACCAGTTCAGTGTTCACAGATAATATAATTTTTTAAAATTTTATTTCATTTTTTTAAAATAAAAAGTGGTGTTGCATGTAAAACCAGTGTTATCAATAGAAGCAGGGGCTGCAGCCCAGAAACAAATCTGTCTGTGTTTATTTGTGGCTGACCGACTCTCTGGACCAGGACCATTGTTCTCAAAGAACTGGAATATAACAGCCAGTCAGAAGGAGAAAAGGCAGAACCCAGGCATCCTTCTGTCACATCTGGATCTGCCTCCAGCAGTGAGCTCCCTATTTCCCAGCGACCAGCTATGTGTTTAAATGTATTTAAATTGTATTTGTGTGCTTTTATAAACCACTGTGGCTCCCTGTTGGGGAGAAAATTGGGAAGTACACCCAATGAATAGATAGGTAAGGCCAGGTGCAGCAGCAGCCGGGTAATTCTTCCTCGGACAGAGAATTCATTAAAAAAAACCCTCTATTTTAACATTTGAATTTTGTTTTTAATTTGCTTCAGGCTGCTCTGGGGGCCATTTTTTAGGCTGTCGGTTTTATTTAAATTGAGTCTAGTTGTAAACCGTTTGATACTGTGTTCTTGATTGGTCTGATGTGTTTTGTCGTAAGCCGCCCCAAAACCTTTCCAGGCTACAAGGTGAGAGATCAATACCTGAAAAAACCTCAGTATGATAAAAGTACAGTCTAAAGTTTTAATTTTATGTTACAAAATATATATCCCACTTTCCTGCCCTCAGAAGGGCCAGCAAATGAACATAAACAGTAAGAATATTTAAGTAGTCGTGCTGGATAAGACAAATAATCCATCTAATTTTCTGTTCTTTTACCAGCGGGGTCAGTCAGATATCAAAGGGAAGTCCATAAACAGAATGTAAAGATATTACCAGCCGACTGTTCTCCAGCATGTGACAGAGTACGGTTGCCAGCCTTCAGGCGGTGGCTGGAAATCTGGGAATACAACTTCTCTCCAGGCGACAAAGGTCAGTTCACCAGCAGTACAACCCCACTTTGGAGGTGGACTCTATGGCCTTATACCCCACGGAAGTCCCTCCCCTCCCCAAACCCCACCCTCCTCAATCTGCACCCCCAACTCCAGAAATTTCCCAACATGGAGCTGTCAACCCTATGACAGAGGCACTTCGTCTCTGAACCAAAAGGCCCCATGTTGCTATCATGGCTCATAACCAACAACAAACCTCCATACATCTGTACAGCTTCCTTTTAAATCCATCCACCTCATGGCACAGTTGAGTGCCATAAGATAACTACCTGTTGCATGAAACATTACATAAGAACATAAGAGAAGCCAATGTTGGATCAGGCCAATGGCCCATCTAGTCCAACACTTGTCACAAAGATGCCAAAAATACCAGGTGCCATCAAGATATCCACCAGTGGGGCCAGGACACTAGAAGCTCTCCCACTGTTGCCCTCCCACCCCCCAAGCACCAAGAATGCAGTGCATCACTTGTACTGCTTCCTTTTTCTGCCGTGAATCCAACTGCCAGTCAGTCTGATGGGGTAGCCCCATATTCTAGTGTTAAAGGAGAAGGAAAGAAGTTCCTTTGTCTTTTCTCTACACCATGACTAGTTTTCACTGAGGTGGTAACATTGGGCTCTGCCATTTCAGATTGCAGAAGGAACACACATGACCAATTAGGGTTGCTCGCCCCTCCCCTGGCCACCGACGGGGGATGAGTATGGATGTCAGGCTGCAGGTGAGACCTGGGGATCTCATGGAATTACAGATCACCTCCAGGCTACAGAGTTCAGTTTCCCTGGAGAAAAGTGATGCTTTGGAGAGTGGACTCCAATGCTTCCTCTAAGCTGTGTAGTCTTGTTTGCAAAAATTCTACTTTGTGAGCAGCTGGCATTAAAGTTGTGAGCGAGCGATTTGGCTGTTGCCTAAATTAGTTTGCTCTGGAGCCATTCTTCCTGAGCTAAGACAAAAATGTGTGAGCTGGAGGCTAAAAAACTGACCTCACACTAACTCAGCTTAGAGGGAACACTATGGCATTGTACCCCACTGTGGTCCCTGTTCTCCCCAGGCTCCATCCCCAACTCTCCAGGAGTTTCCTAAGCTGGATCTGGCAATCCTGCCCCTCCATCCCGCGCAGGTGGCCAGGGAAGACTTGGCAATCCTAGGCTTGAGGACCACTATGAACTGCAGTGTGAGAGAATGCTGAATCCGAGTCTCTGCCCCCACAAGGAGGCAGTCACTGGTAGCTCTCCACCACTGCTGGCTTGTTTGAATGGGTGAGCTAGACATGAAACAGGACTACAGCGCTGGAAGCAGGAAGAGCCAGCATTCAGTTAGGAGCCCTCCAAAGTGGTCGTGGACCCAACTGTGGTCCTCAGTCTGAAAAAATTGTGCAGTTCTGGGTTAAAATTCCACTCAGTCATGGGGGGCACATTGAGCCACTCACACACTCTCACCTCCACTTTCTCATATCGTCGCATCTTTAGCTGCCACTTCCCAATGGACTTTTGTTGGAGAAAAGATTGTTTTGGCCCAGCTCTGCTATTATTAGTTGTGATCACATGTTGTTTCATTATCCTTTTAAAGATTTCCCCCCCTCTGGTTGTTTAGATAATGCAAGTTTTTGCTGGCTGAGTGTTTTATATATATTTTGTGTCATTTCATTTTGAATGGTGCTCTTTAAATCATGTTGTAAGCTGCCTCTGGCATTTTCAATGGAGAACACAAGGTATAAAGAATTCCATGCTTCTGGCAACCCTATGTGTAGGCATACTTGATATGTATGCTTTGATATGTACAGTTTAAACAGTATTTACACAAGAGTGCCCATCATTTGTATGCACAATCTATAATGCAGGTTTGTACAAATAACTTCAAAAAATGCACACATTTTATGCGAAAAGTTCAGTAAAAACCATAAATGGCACAAAAATAAAGAACTGCTGGTTCAAGTCTCACAAGGGAAAACCAAGACTAAACTGTGTATTTGGGGGGGGGGGGGGGAAAAAAAAAAAAAGAAGAACAAGGCTGAGATGTTTGAAATCATCCCAGCTCAGAGCCAGTATGGTATACAGAGAAAGATTTAGGGAGCCCAGGGTAGTGGAGTGGTTAGCAGGCCAGGCTATTGAGGCCTAAGGCCTGAATTCAAACCTCTTTCTACCAAGAGACTTCGTGGGTGACCTTGGACCCGTTCCTCTCAGCCCTACATACCTGACAGGATTGCTGTGAGGAGAACATAAACACACTGCCTTATACTGAATCAGACCATTGGTCCATCCAGATCATTGTCTTCAGTGGCCGGAAGGAGCTCTTCAGGATCTCAGGCAGAGGCCTTTCACATCAATAGCTACTGGTCCTTTGAACTGGAGATGCCAAGGATTGAACCTTGGACTTCTGCATGCAAAGCAGAAGCTCTTCCACTGAGCCACAGGCCCTCCCAAATATGAGGGAGGGCAGGACCTTGTGTGGCACCCTGAGATTCTTTAAGGAAGGCAGGGTAAAAATGCAATAGGGTAAAAGCAGGAGCTGCGGTGGCTCAAGTGGTTAAGACGCTGAACTGCAGGCTGTGGAAGGTCAGTAGTTCAGCAGTTCGAGACCCGGGTGCCGCCAAGACAGAGTGAACTCCGTCTCTAGTTCCAGCTCCTGCCAACCTAGCAGTTCGAAAGCAAGAAATTGCAAGTAGATAAATAGGTACCACTTCAGTGGAAAGGTAACAGCATTCTGTGCGCCTTGGTGTTTAGTCATGCCGGCCACATGACCACGGAAACGTCTTCGGACAGCGCTGGCTCTTCGGCTTTGAATTACTTCAATAAGGCAAGATAACAGTGATTCCCGGAGGAGGGACATTTGAGGCCAACAAAAGGCTACTAGAGACAAAATTTATTTCCCCTCTCCCCCATGCTGCAGTTCTTGTCCACACTGGGGCCTCGCACAGCTATTAACAAAGGGGAAATATACTGGAGAGTCGATCACTGCTCTTGTAGCCTAAGATTTCTTTAGCTGGGATTGAACCAGATATCCAGTGATTCTTACCTGCTGGTGATTCAGCCAAGTCCTGAGGTGAGAGGGCATGTTATGGTTTCCCTCAGTATTGTTCCTGCTCTCCCGCCTGTGTGTGTTACAGATCTTGGGGGGAGGTGGAGGTGAAGATATATGAGTTTTAATAAGCTCATGTATTTCCCATCATGCCTGGAGATGAGTGCTTAATGCACCACAGCTAAAACACAGATGTTGACTGGCACTCCGCGTGAGGCGTGTCCTTCTCCACCTTAGTAACAAGGAGCTCCATTCCGTAATTTCGGTTACAGCCCACTCTGTCTAAGCAGCCATGATGTTCTGGATGCCCAGCTGCTCCTTCAGGCGCTGCAACTGTGCCAACGTGATATTGTTGCCACCGCACACAATAACCACCAAGGAGTCCGGCTGGGGGCTGAGCTTGCCCTCGTCTTTCAGCCTCTGGGCTACCCCATTGTAGACAGCTGTCAAGGCTGCCCCACATGCAGGTTCCACTAGGATTTTCTCATCGTCTGTAACAGAAGGGAGAGGGAGAGGGGCTGGTTATGCCACTGCTCGGTGCTGCCAGGGAGAAGGGTGGGATCAAGTTCTGCACTGCTTTTTTCCTTTTCTTGTCCACGGGCCAGAAACTGTATAGATCAGCTTGTGCTGAAATATAGCTGAACACCCCCAAGTGCCTAGAAATGTGTGCCAGCCCATCACGCTTTATGTGTTTGCTGCAGGGGACACTTTGGTAACATCGGGACAGCTGTGGGCGAATGGATGTGCACCTGCTCTGCCTCCTGTGCTGTTCTTTCACCAGTCCCTTTGCCCACCCCTGATTGGGGTAGTATGTCACCAGATGTGGTGATTGCCACTGGGTTAGATAGCTTTAAAACGGGATTAGATAAATCCAACAGCCATTAGTCTCTGGGGCCCACCAAGTACCATGTACTCTGAGGCAAACAACTGTGAAAAACGGTGGCTTTTAGGTCTTGCTTGCAGGATTCCTGGGAGGTAGCTGGCTGACTATTGTGGGACACAGGACACCTAGCTGGGCTTTTGGTCTGATCCAGCAGTGCTCTTTTTATGTTTTTCCTTGCAGTTGGCAGTGTAGAAGAGTAATTAAAAGTAACACTGAAAGAATGAGCCAGGAAGTGATCATTGCCTAGGGACATTTTAAGTTCAAAGGCAGCACCTTTGCATTTAAAGGTAGCAACCTTAATAGTGCCAGTGCCTGTAAAACAGTGGTGGGGTGACTTCAGTCTTGTATGATCTATAAGTACCATGTACTCTGAGGCAAACAACTGGGAAAAACGGTGGCTTTCAGGTCTTGCTTGCAGGATTCCTGGGAGGCAGCTGGCTGCCCATTGTGGGACACAGGACACCGGCCTAGCTGGGCTTTTGGTCTGATCCAGCAGTGCTCTTTTTATGTTTTGCCTTGCAGTTGGCAGTGTAGAAGAGTAATTAAAAGTAACACTGAAAGAATGAGCCAGGAAGTGATCATTGCCTAGGGACATTTTACGTTCAGAGGCAGCACCTTTGCATTTAAAGCTAGCAACCTTAATGGTGCCAGTGCCTGTAAAACAGTGGTGGGATGACTTCAGTCTTGTATGATCTACATGCTCTTTATTGCTACAGTCCCCATAATCCTCTGCCATATTTTAAATTTACAAAGCAAGAATGCACATTTGGCATTTCTCCAGGGAAGTGATCTGAAGTAAAAATTGCTTTGTTAAGTTAAATCAAGGTTCACCTAGTCCAGCATTTCCAAAGCAGCCAGCAGGCACTGACATCAGCGTGTCCTCCCCAGTGAGTCATGTCCTTGCCTGCCAGTGTGGTGTAGTAGTTACGAGTGTCTGATTAGGATCTGGCAGACCCAGGTTAAATTCCCAACTTGTGCCATGGAAGGTCGCTGGGTGACCTTGGGACAGTCACACGCTCAGCCTAACCTACCTCACAGGGTTGTTGTTGTGAGAATAAGATGGAGGAGAGGAGAATGATGTAAGCTGCTTTGGGTCCCCCATTGGGGAGAAAGGCGGAGTATACGTGGAATAAATAAATAAGTGCAAGAGCATTTTGCAAGCAACATTAATTGCTGAGGGGTTTAATTTTAATCTGTGGTTAAAAATGTACTCTGTTCATTGCACCTGTTCATCAACTGGAGCATGCATCCCCATGTCTTGCGGTTTGGTAGGGTTTTCATCTTGAGTTTGTGGCAGGTTATACTTTCGGTGTTTTAGAAGAAGAAGAGAAGAGAAGAAGAAGAGATTGGATTTATACCCTGCCCTTCACTCAGAGTCTCAGAGCAGCTTACAAACTCCTTTCCCTCCCCCTCCCACAACAGACACCCTGTGAGGTAGGTGGGGCTGAGAGAGCTCTTTCAACTACTGCCCTTTCAAGGACAGCTCTTGTCAGAACTATGGCTTACCCAAGGTCAGCCAGCAAGTGCAAGTGGAGGAGTGGGGAATCAAACCCGGTTCTCCCAGATTAGAGTCCACACACTTAACCACTAGACCAAACTGGCTCTCCACTCACCAAACTGGCTTTTAGAATCTATTTCACATGCATTTAATTTTCCAGTACTGCACAGCCTACTTTGAGCCTTCAGTCTATGGTGCATTTATTTTTATTTTATTGGATTTCTATCCTGCCCTCCCCGCGAACAGGCTCAGGGCGGCTTACATTTAATGGTACTATGTGCCAAGATACATTAAACATATAAAAACAAGATAAAACAATCATATTATTACAATTAAAGTGCTTATAGAATTGATCTTCCAGTTGCGTTAAAGATGGCATCCGGTAGATGGACACAAGTCCCAATTCAGCTGTATCTGCCTCATACGTTACTGCGGTTCGGTCTCCATATAGGGCAAACCAACTACCCCGGTGTTATTAACAATAATAGTTGGTGGTAGTGGTGGGTGGCTCCTAATTGAAATTCTGGCGGAAGAGCTCTGTCTTGCAGGCCCTGTGGAACTGTAGAATGTCCTGCAGGGCCCTGATCTCCTCCGGGAGCTCATTCCACCAGGTAGGAGCTGCCACCGAAAAGGCCCTAGCCCTGGTAGTGATGAGCTTGGCCTCTTTGGGGCCTGGAATCACTAGCCGATGTTGTGCCCCAGACCATAGGGGTATGTGTGGGGAAAGGCGGTCCCTCAGGTATGCCAGACACTGGCCATAAAGGGCTTTAAAGGTAAGTACCAGCACCTTGAAGCGGATTTGGTATGCTGTTGGCAGCCAGTGCAGTGCATTCAGCGCAGGTCGGATGTGTTCCCATCTAGGGAGACCTATCAAAAGCCTGACAGCTGCATTCTGCACTAGCTGCAGCTTCTGGATTTGCGACAAGGGCAGCGCCATGTAGAGAGCATTACAGTAGTCTAATCTCAAGGTGACCATCGCATGGGTCACTGTAGCCAGGTTATCGCAGTTGAGGAAGGGAACCAGCTGCCGAATCAGCCGAAGGTGGTAAAAGACTGACTTAGCAGTGGCTGCCACCTGGGCCTCCATAGTTGAGGGATCCAGGAACACTCCCAAACTCCTCACCACAGGTGCTGGCACCAATGGTGCCCCGTCGAGGGTTGGGAGAGGAACCCCCGTCCCCAAACCGCCCCAACTCAGGCACAGGACCTCCGTCTTCGCCGGGTTAAATTTCAGCTGGCTCAGTTTGAGCCAATCAGCCATGGCTTGCAATGCCCGGTCCAGATCTTCCGGGCTGGAGTCTGACCGGCCACCCAAAATCAGATAGAGCTGGGTGTCATCTGCGTACTGGTGACATCCCAGCCCATACCGCCGGACAATCTGGGCAAGGGGGCGCATATAATTGTTAATAATGGGGAAAGCACCGCCCCCTGAGGCACACCGCACTCAAGCGGATGTCTCCGGGACTGCTGTTCCCCTAGCACCACCCTTTGTCCCTGACCCTGGAGAAAAGAAGCAAGCCATTGTAAGGCAAGCCCCTGTATCCCCATGTCGGCGAGGTGGTGGGTCAGCAACTGGTGGTCGACCGTGTAAAATGCTGCCAACAGGTCTAACAACAACAGTGTCACCGAACCACCCCGATCCAGATGTCTCCAAATCAACACAATATTTGAAAGGGTTCTAAGTAGAACTTTCTTTTGGCCATGTGAGATAAGGTGAATGTTTCCCATTTATGTTACTACCACTAACACTACCAAAAATGTATTTAGTGCAAACAGTATGCTGGGAGCCATACAACATACCCACAAACTTCTCAACAGCCATCACTGCCTCCTGATCTGTGACGACCTCTGAAAAGACAGGATACTCTTGAGCCAGTTTCAGAGCCTCTGCTCCCACAGTCTTTGCCCCAAGGGTTTTAGCAACACTGGATCCATAAGGAAAGAAGAAAGTCATCAGCTGATCACATCTGTTTTTTGTTTTTGAAATTTCTGCTCAGGTAGTCCACATGCTACCCTTTCATATAAAGTTTGTGTGTAGCTAAAATAAAATAAAAGAACAGACCAGCATCCCGGGAGTTTCAGCAGTTACTGCTTTAAAAACCAAATTTCTAATCCTTTTGAGCCAGTACCTGACAGTTCAGGGTGTGTGTGCATATGTGGCTTTATTTATGTGGAATCTTTACACCCCTCCTCTACATACATTTCAGCAGTTACTGCTTTAAAAACCAAATTTCTAATCCTTTTGAGCCAGTACCTGACAATTCGGGTGTGTGTGCATATGTGGCTTTATTTATGTGGAATCTATACACCCCACCTCTACATACACAGGAATATCTGTGAGACAGCTTACAAGACTGACTACTCTCAAAAGCAGCACAAGAATTTTTAAAAACATATCAAAGTGTTTTTAAGCGCTCTACAGATCATTTTGTTCCTCTGCAGCTGCCACATAAATGCAAAATATGTCATTACATCCAAATGTCCTTTGTATTTAGCATATAAGATTGCCCATTTTCTTATCTGGATATTTTTTAGCATGAAGTATGCACAGCCAGTCCTGGAGATTTGCATGTAGGAAAATGGAAATTAGTGAGATATGGAATGTGTTGGAAGTTAATAGTGCCATATGAACTTTTGGCACAGCTGTTTAACTATCTGAAAGATGGTGCATTAGGAATATACCAGAAGGCAACTACTCGGATACCACTTACCAGGAGGTAACTTTAAATTTACTTGAATACCTCCTGCAAAGAACACAGGGCTGTTGCAAAAACTAGCAGCCTGGAATCGCATTATTTTCCTCACCTGTTTAGCATTTAGTTCAACTTACCCTGGGCCAGGGGGCCCAGATTTTAGTTTGGTCTTGGTAGAGAGCCAAAATTTGTTTGTGCCACTGGCACCAGCCCTGACCTTTCTCCACAGCAACTACAAGACTCATCATGACTGTCTGCTGGGAAGCCTCCCCTTCCGTTCGCATCAAGGCTCGGAAGAAGGGTGTAAGCATTTGGCCGATAAAAAAAAAAGTTCACTGTTGGTGAGCTGATTGGCAAACATATGGACTCCTGCCTCATGTCCAGATATGGTTATGCTGTATCTCCCCCTGCCACCACCCCCACACAATTGGCTGAAAGTGGCATGGGTGGTGAAATGCCTAGCACAGATCTTTTCAGAACACGGACATTATGAAGTGGGAAAGGTGAACTTGACACATGACTCGTCATTTTCAGCAGCAGTCCTGTGTTCTTTCTGCCATGTCATTCTGCTTTGGGTGTCACAAGAGGGTTCTTTCTGTGTTAGGTATCAGAAAGGTGCCACCAAGCCCTTCACAAATGAGTGGCTTTATACCTTTTAGGAAATGCTCAGTCCAGTCAAACATATGGTAACCTTGCCAAAATTGCATTGTGGATGTGGCAAATTTCTGTTTTACTGTTCTTTTAAATTCCTAATTTATGGCGTATGGGCTACTAAACCTTAAATAAACTAAACTAAAGGAGGCAGTTTCTGCCCCAGAGCTGACCAATGTTCTCTGTATCTGCCACACAAACCTGTGTGTCACACTCACCTAGTAATTTCTGGAAGTGTCACCAGCTTCCCAGATGTCATGGCAGCATTCAGGCTGTGGGCTCCTTTGGTTTCCAGGGCAATAATGGGCACATTGGCCCAGCCCACCTCACGGAGGCCCCGGATCACCCCACACAGCATCCCTCCTCCTCCTACCGAGAGAGCCAGCGCTCCAGGCTTGGATTCCATCTGTTCCTTTAACTCTTTGACCAGGGACGTGTGCCCTTCCCTGTAGAGAGAAGGGAGGCCAGACGGTCAGTATATCAGAACCACAGAGAATGGAGTAATGAGGGAAGGTGGTAGGACAAGGACAAATAGTAGATTCTTCAAATTACACATCAAAGAGATCGTAGCTTGAACAAAAAAGGGCTGCTTCCTGGGTATAGCATGTTTATTAGCCATGCTCCTAAAGTTCTACAAAGTGGCATTTGAGAGGGATAAAGGGTGTGCATTTGTTTCAAATGATGCAGTCCAGAAACAATCACAGACTTTTTCTTGTGTTTGTGATAACTAGGGCAATGTTGATTTTTAAAAAGATGCGTAATACGTGCTGGCATGAAAGATGCAAGATTATTTTTTACATGTCTCTTGCAAAAAAAATGGTTTTCACTGTCCTTTGCCTCGCCTCATTCTTTTAGGCTACGTACCAGATGAGAGGGTCATCAAAGGGGGGCACGTAGACCCATCCTGGGTTGTTCTTCACAAGCTCCTTGGCTTGTTCGATGCTCTCATCCAAAATCTGGGGAGAAAGAAAATCGATTCAGTTACTTGTGCATTTCTGTCCCCATCTTCCTGGAAGCATTAAAGCTGTATGCATAGGGCTGCCAAGAAGTCTTCCAACCAGGCGCAGATCTGGCTCAGCCTTGCTTAGATGCAGCAAGGTCATTGCATCCTATATCTTCCTGCAATACCCTGGAAACTCTTTTATTGGGCTCATATGCAAAGGAAGGTCATCTGTGCTTAGCTGTGATCCTTAGGGTTGCCAGCCTCCAGGTGGTGCCTGGAGATCTCCTGGAATTACAACTGACCTCCAGGCGACAGAGATCAGTTCCCCTGGACAAAATGGCCACTTTGGAAGTGGGCTCTATAGCATTATACCCCAGTGAAGTCCCTCCCCTCCCCAAACCCCGCCCTCCTCAGGCTCCACCCCCCAAATATCCAGGTATTTCCCAACTCAGAGCTGGCAACCCTGTCCTCCAGGAATAGCAGATCCAGAGTTCTCTTTGGCCCCCTCCCTCCTTCCTAGATACTTACCTCTCCCCCAATGCACACTGTGCTCCCCTCGTCTTTCAGACGCTCTATGGTGAAGGCCGGTGTGGAAGTGGGGACGAGGATGGTAGCTGGGATGCCCAGCCTTCTGGCAGCGTAAGCAGCTGCGAGGCCGGCGTTTCCCCCTGCAAGGAAGCCTGCTCAGCATCACATGACACTAGACCTCATGAAGACAGTTCCCCCCTGCCTGTCTTCTCCCTACATTCAAGAGCATGCCTGTGTGAGAGAGACGAATGTGCAATGAGCCCTAGAATGGTGCTGCAGGGATGCGCAAAAGTGGTTGGCATGGATGAGCCACAGCTGGTCGTGCCTCCCTCTCCATCCCCAAAGCTCTGGGGTATCCACAGGAAAGTCTTTTACCTAGAGGTATCAACCCCCAGGTGGTGGGTGGAGATCTCCCAGTATTACAACTGATCCCCAGCTGACAGAGACCCGTTTGCCTGGAGAAAATGGCCGCTTTGGAAGGTGGGCTCTATGGCATTATTGCACCCCATTGAAGTCCCTCCCCAAACCCCACCCTCCTGAGGTCCCACCCCCAAATCTCCAGGTATTTCCCAACCCAGAACTGGCAAGCCTACCCTTACCTGAGGAGCACACAAAGTGCTTGCAGCCCTGTTCAGCCCACTGTGAAGGCAAAAGAAAAGGAACAAGTGAGCAAGAGGCCGTACAAGGCTAACTTGAATATCCTTCCCATAAGACTGACAGAATCTTCGGGCCAGATTACGTTTGTTACTACAACCTAGCGATGATGTTGACATTTCTATGCCTGACACTATTTCATCTAGTACCAGGGGTCAACAGCATTGGACAGTTGTTGAGGCCCCAAGAGGGCCCACTATTTACCTCTAGTTCTCACCACTGTGCAACAGAGGGATGTAGACATTGCACCCTGCCCTCAGTTTCTGGGGGACGGTAATGGTTGTGGGTTTAGCACCCCCCCCCCAAAGGGATTAGGCTTGTTGTATGTGCAAGAAGGGACAGGTGTCACTGGAGGTCATCTTTCCCAGGGTCTGCCAGAACTGAGAACTGGCCTCAAGTTCAATGTCACTCCTGTCTTCTGTCCTTGCCTCAAGGAGTTCCACACAGAGGAGTTATTTTATCAACACAACAACCCTGTGAGGTTGGTAAGGTGGAGGCACAGTGACTGGCCCAGACTCATCTAGTCTGAGTGTCTTCTTACACTAAGTTTTGTTTTTTGGGGGAACAGCAACAGCATAGAAAAAACAAATTGGCCCACATTAAGTATAACCAGGGCCCATGATGCATTTGCTGTATTTCTACTTGAATGAAGAAAAGGGTCAGGAGGATGTGTTTTTGTACAGGTTGCAGATTTCAGCTTCCTTTTAGAAGCAAGATTCATTGACCATTGAAATCTCAGAAGCCAGAGGGGTGGCAGGGAAAGATTTCTAGGAGCTGGAGATGGGACTTTAGTGCCATGTTAGCTCTGGTGAGGATCTTTGCAGAACCAGCATTAATTACACCCAATTGTGAAAAACGTAGAATAAATTAATTAGTAGAAAAATTATGCACTTTAATCAATTTGTATAATTTATGTGGATCATGGAATCTAGCTTTCTTGGTGCAAAGTCCTGATGGCCTGGGTGCATGATTTTAACATAGGCAGTGTGTATGAATACGTATTTCCTTCATACACATTTCCTTGAGCAAAACATAATAATCAGACTCTTTTTAAAAAAATCCAAGTCTCTAAACTCTATCTACAAATATTCTTTGAGTGATAAACCACTGTGAAATCAGTCACATATTTGTAGAAAGTATAAATTTCCAAAATTTTGTTTCACTGACTTTGGTAAAGTGAGTTACCAGGTCCGTCAGACCAGCTGGCAGGAGATGGGGGTGAACTTACTAGGAGCGGGGAAGGAAGAAGCCAGGAATGAACAAGATGTGCCTACGTCACTTCTGGGAGATGTATTTATTTCTGTATTTATTTCTGGATTCTTGCCTGTTTGGAGGGGGGTAATGGGAGGGCCACAGTGGCTCAGAGGTTAAGATGCTGAGCTGCAGACCAGAAGGTCTGTAGTTCGGCACTTCGAGACCCTAGTGCTGTGTGATAGAGTGAGTTCGTGACTCTGGCCCCAGCTCCTGCCCACCTAGCAGTTCGAAAGCAAGAAATTGCAAGTAGATAAATAGGTACCACTTTGGTGAGAAGGCAACAGCGTTCCGTGTGCCTCGGTGTTTAGTCATGCCGGCCACATGACCACGGAAATGTCTTTGGACAATGCTGGCTCTTCGGCTTGGAAACAGAGATGAGCACCACCCCCTAGAGTTGGATTTGACTGGCTTTCGGGCAAGGGAAACCTTTACCTTTACTAATGTGAGGGTCAGAGAGGAGCGTCCAAAACCAGGAGACCCCTACCCTGACCGGAGTGTGTGTGTGGTATCCCATACAGAATTAATCACATAGCCACACCTTATTAGGTACATTAGATATTTAATAGTAGCTAAATGAGCTCATTTCCTTTATTTGATATTAGAAACATTAATCAGCATAGCATGATGTCCTGAAGATACCTCAACAATATACAAATTGTCCCACAGAAAGTTCCTGATTTCATACCTCTGAGAGCTGAAGGGCAAATCCAGGTGCATCTTGGGACATGCTTCCTCAGAAGTAGGAGACATCCTTGGGGATATCTATGCTACAAATATAGATCACTTTGGAATCAGTTTCAAGCTGCTTTTTATTCTCCTGCCTTTCTCTGAATAATGTTTGGGAAATGCCCTTTGGGGTGAGGTGCTGGAATTCTTTGTTAGAGAATTCAAACTCCTTCATAGAACTACAGCTTCCAAGATTCTTTGGGAGGGAGCCATGACAGTTGCACAGATTTGGAACTGGTTTTCAAGTTTGTGGTGGAGACAATACTCTTCATACACTTTCTTCCCTGCGTTCTTCCCTGCTAACACATACCTGGTCCCCTGCAACCCATATACATTTCCCCTCTTCCTACCGTTTTACAGAAATGTCCAATGCCCCGTATCTTAAAAGAGCCGGTGGGCTGAGCATTGTCCAGCTTCAAGTACACCTTGGTGCCAGCCACTTTGGAGAGGGGGATGCTTTCTCTCAGAGGAGTGTTGATGTGGAGACTCTTGCTGGTGGTCATGGTGGAAAGGCCGGGGTAGAAAGGTGATTGCTAGATCCAAATAACTGAAGGTGGGGGGGAGAAAAAAACGATATTGCTTCTTAGGTTGGCAGGTTGGGAGACACTCAGATTTTCAGTGTCACATAATGTGGGCCGTTCTCTCATACAACAATTTTCTATTTGTTATGAAACTTTTGCGGGTTTCTTCCCTCAAGAAAGACCTTCTGTTGTGTGAATATTACATTTTTCTTGCATTTGAAACCCATTATTTTGTCAAGAGGACAATGTGATCCTTTCTCATGAAGAGCTCTTCCTTGAATGAAGAAACTCAAGCCATCAGCCCCCGAAAGGACCATCAAAGCTGTGAGGGAACCCAGTGGAGGCAATCCTTCCCTCACCTTCTTTGGGCTGGAGATAGTGTTGACAACTCCAGGTTGGGAAATTCCTAGGGAGGGGGGGCCCTTGGGGAGGATGGGACCCCAGTGGGGCCATAGAGTCCTACCCTAGTATAGAATCCTATAATGCTACAGAAAGCACCATCTAAAGCAACCATTTTCTCCAGGGGAATTGATCTCTGTCATCTGGAGATCAATTATAATTCCTGGAAAGCACCTGGGGGGGGGGGGGTGGGGGGTGGGAACCGTAGCAGAGAGTTTATCACAACACTTTCTCCAGGGGAATTGATCTCTGTCATCTGAAGATCAATTATAATTCCTGGAAAGCACCTGGGGGGGGGGCTGGAGGTTGGCAACCCTAGCAGAGAGTTTATACCATCACCTCCCAAGAAGACAACCAAATGCCAGAGACGTTGTTTATTGTTGTGACTTTTCAGATTTCGCGTGGCAAACCACCTTGGATGCCTATGCAGAAGGGTGATAAATAAAGGCATCAGATATGTTCTGCTGAGACTGGCAACTGTTTTCTAAGGTCTTGGATAAAAGTTCTTTCCCCAGGCCTATTACCTACAAAAACTGTTAACTGCTGGGGACTGCACCTATGTCTGCTCCTTCTGAGCTATGGCCTCTCTTCTAAAGGGCTATTTGCTGGGTACTCCAGCCCTGTTCTACTGCTCTGCAGGGGACTGTGTTTTGCGTTTAAATGTTTCATCCCTGCTGTTTTGACCCAAAAATCTCCATTTCAATTTTGCTTCTCCCTTGTGCGAGTTAGCACTTAATTCTTAAGTGTGACATTTTCTGTTTCCTTGCACAGAACTTTTCCTGCAGAATGTATGCCTTTTAACATTATTCGTGAATCAATAAGTCAGCATTGTACTAACTACACACACCCATAAATTATGTATATTGTACATGTAATTTGCATATTAAAACCATGCAACTTGCGAAGATAGCGGGTTGGATCCTTGTGGATCTGTGCCCCTTCGTTTCCTGTCTGATTTGAGAAAAACCATCTCCAGAAGTGGTTTTTATGTCTCTGATTTTTTTTACTTGTGGCTGGGGGCGGGGGGGGCATTAGATGATAATATGGCATACTTGATGGGTGGTAGTAGATTAAAGGCTGCAAATCACTGGCTGAGCCCATTATCTTCAAGTGATGGATCACCATCCACAGTCACATTGCAGCCTCACCTTAAATGCACCAGCAACACCACAACCTTGGAGACAGATAAGAAGAGAGATGAGTGGAGGAAAGCTGACATACCGCAAGAGAGAGCTAGTTAGATGTAGTAAAAGTTTTTAAACAGTTAAAAATTCAGAGGAAGGGGCTAAATGTAGGGCTGGATACAGGAAGGGATGACATCCTCTAGTCTAGTCATGGACAGGCAGGGCTGGGTCTACAGTGCAATTTGAACTGCTCATCGTTTTTAAAAAAAATAAAAACAAGTTTCTAGTCCATATGGTTGCAAAGTGTGTCAGAAATACCTGCAACAATCTCAGAAACCTGACAGGTGGCTGAATAAGATTTCCTTTGATGGGGGTGGGGCTTCAGTGCTGTGCTCAGCCTTGGCTCGGCTCTTATCCCACGCTTAGCAAAACCAAAATCAAATTGTGAAAATTTATTCAACTTACAAAACATATACCGGGCTCGGAATTCAGCTTTCCATACCACAGAGTTACGATTGCCTGGGTGCAGGGATTTTTTTTTTCCTGTGGAGACGGCATACAACCTTGCAAGGTAGTGTGCTCTCTGCTTACTGCTAGTGATTTGCTTTGTGTTCCTTGCAGTGATACCTCAGTCCTTCCTTCTAGTTATGTGCACCTCTACAGCAAAATACCCCTCCACTGAGACATCTTCCCTGCCTGCCCATAGCCTATCGGAACTCACTTTCTGCTCACAGAACTTACTTTTTATGCCCTCCTTACACTGGCACCCTAATCCTTTCTTCCCACTGTCTGCATCTCCATCTTAACCCCCATCTCCTCTGGGACAACAACATCCCTCCTTTCTTTGACCCCAGGCTTTTCATGCAAATGCAGCATCTTACAATGAGATGAGGGTTCCTGCCAAACTCATTAGCCTACATTTTGGCTGGGCAGCTGGGACAAAAGGCTGCATTGGTTTCAAGGGGCTCATAAAAACCACTGATGTGCACAATTTCTCCCTTCTCATCAGAATTCCCCATCTGCTAATGAGACTGGGAGCGAAATGGACAACAAGCGGAAAGGTGGACGGATGGATGGAGGCGGCTGAGCCTGAGACACCGCCGGGCTCATGGGAAAACACTCTTGGAGAAAGCGTGTATCACCTGTACAGTTAACATTGCTAGGCTGCAGCTGTTTACCTCACTTGGGCTGTGGCCACCCAGAGCCCTGCATGGTGCAGTTAGATGGTTGGGGGTAGGGGGCAAAAAAGCCAGTGGAGAAACAAGCAGCCAAAGCAGTGGTTGCCAAATCTCCCAGTGGGCTTCCCAAATTCAGTTGAATTCCCAGATTCATCTGCGGCATTAGTGTTCAACTGTTGAACACTAATCAACTTGGTGGAACAGAGATTTCAACCCTAGCTTGCAACCTAGAACCCACCTGAGCAGCCCACTCATATGCATGTTCATTTCGAAGTAAGTTCCACTCTGTTCAGTGGGATTGACTCCCATTTAAGTAGGCTCAGGTGTAGCCTTAATTTTTCTGTGATCTTAAGCCTGGTGCTTCCCTTCTATTGGCTTTACTTGTTCTCCTTTTATCTTTGTCTGCCTCTGTTGTCCAAACAAATAACAGGACCTTGAAAGGAAAACGGTGGTGGGTAGTGCCATAGCTGTGCCCATAAAGCTGGCAACTGCCCGGAGAAAAATGTCATTCCCCTCTAATAGAGGCTCACCAGGATGTTATTTCCCTCCATGCCATGAGGAGCTTCAGCTGCCCATTTCCACACATTAACCCTCTGTTAAAAGTGCAGGACGTTTTTCTCCAAGCCTGTTGGCAACCCAGGGCTTCCAGGACCAACCTGGAGGTCCGGACCCACTGGCTGAAAAAGGCCCATGAGTCACGGGTTACTACATGCATGCAAAACCAGCCGCCTGTTCAGAGACCCCCTCGCTGGAGGCACATGTAAAAGAGTGTTGTGCGTGCAATCCCCGTTTCTGATCGAACAGCTGGAGCTTTACATCTGCAAGGCATAGCCCATTAAACAAAGCTGAAATTCTGCCTCTCAGCTGTTTGGGAACAGAGAGCTGGATCTCCCCCCCCCAGCCCAATCACACAGCTGATTGGTGGGGGTTATTTTTCCAAAGCTACACAGAGAGAGACAGAGAGAGTCCGGCACCTTAGAGTCCAACAAGATTTTTGAGGTACAACCTTTCGAGAGAGAAAGCTCCCTTCATTGGAACTCATATCTGACAGAAGGAGCTTTGACTTTCAATCAAAAGCAGATTCCCCCAAAATCGTGTTGGTCTCTAAGGCGTTACTGGACTCAAATCTGGCTGTTCTGCTGCAGACCAACACAGCTGCTTTCTGAAATCAGAAAGGGACCGTGCTCTCTAACTGCTCTGTGTCTGCTGCTTTGCACTGAAAGTCCAGCATTAGTTTCCGGGTTCCGATCCAGCAACCTAAACACTATGGGAGAACTGCCAGCGGAGAACTGCATGCATGCCAGTCTATTGGCGACATAGACCAGTACAGGCCAAATCATTCTCTAACTACCCCCACTGTAGGAATGAGATGTCCCTCACAGACCCGTGCAGATGTGACTTTTCGCATTATCTCCGTTCTCCTCTAAATGCTATTCTTGAATCATAGGTCTATCGATGTCTTCTTGCTATTGTAAGAACAGTGGAACTTCCATATTCAAAGGCAGTGTATCCCTAATTACTGGATGCTGAGGGATGAGCAACAGGGGGCAGCTTTCTCCTTGTAAGCTTCCCAGGCCCTATGAGTAGCCACTGCTGGGAGACAGAATGCTGGTTTAGATCCTTGCATGGATCCGACAATGGCAGTTTCATTACCAGTCTGGAAGAATAAGCAGAGCTATTCCTGTGGAATTCCTGGCAACATCAGCCACCTGTCCCGAGGGAGTCTGTGCTGGAATTTAACATCAGAGCTGGGAATTCCTGGCTGGTGTCTCCAGCAGTCTTAAAAGGATCTTGAGTAGCAGGTATTATCAGAAAGACGTCTATCTGCCTGGAACTCTGAAAGAACTGATGCCAGCCTGTTTAGGCAGAACTGGGCAGGATGGACCAGTGCTGATCTGACACAGTAGATAGCAGTTGTATATATTGCATCCAGCGTCTTCTCAAACAAAATTATTCCTGCCAGTTAATCATTTATACAGGCAGTCAAACTCCCTTTATCTGAACCTCAGTGATCTGAATTTCTGGATTATCTGAGTTTACCTGTCACCTGCTGATCCAAACAGCAAAGATGCACTGCATGACGCTAACAGAATAACCGTCCACGAGGTACTGAAAAATGCACACTTACCTGTCAGAATGGAGACTGTAGAAGCTGGCTAGCCAAGCGGGCTGTGAGGTACTCAGTGATCTGAATTTCTGGATTATCTGAGTTTACCTGTCACCTGCTGATCCAAACAGCAAAGATGCACTGCATGACGCTAACAGAATAACCGTCCACGAG